AGGTTCCTTACTCACCATATCTAACTTCCTAGATACTATTGTTAATGCTATTTTATTTTCTAAAGCTAACATCTTACATCCCTCCATATTATCGCCTAGTAAACTATTCCACGAGCTAAGCCTAAGAAGTAGTTCTATTAATAATAAACTCGATTTTCCTGTACCGTTAACGCTTGATAATATACACACTATTATAGATGTATCTAAACTAATATCTTATTATTATAACAACAGAATATTTTTTATATTACAAATACCTCTCATATACCCTATCAAATACGTAGTCTATAAAATCATTCCACTACCAACCCCACACGATAATACTAACCCTAATACCTTCGCCTTAATAACTCCTTCAAAATCATACATCGCCTTAACAGATGATAGATTACATTACAGCTTATTTGATAATTTGCAACAATGCTCAAATGTAAACAATGAACATATGATTTGTCCACTCGGAAGTGTTTATTCTAGTATTACAAATCCGTGTTGTGAAACCAAACTCCTGACCGAAGTGAACCTGTCATTGCCTAGTGAGTGCAATTCTAAACTTATATACGGAGACGTTGACATATGGCAAACGTTAAACAATAACAAGTGGATCTATGTGCAATCTAAGTTAAATAAGTTAACAGTGCAGTGCGATAAGAGTGACATGAAAGACCACCCGATTATCGGAACGGGTATCCTAAAACTTACGGATGATTGTGTAGCATTTTCTAAAACAATTAGATTAGAACCGTCTGTATCAACAAACTTTGAAATAACCGATCAACTAAAAGTCGATTTTGATATCACCCAAGATGACTGTTGTAAAAAGGATATTTTCAATAAGTCAATACCTCTGTTATCTCCTTTATCTTTAAGCAACATTAATCTCGATTCATTGAAACATTCCTATAATCAATTAGATGATTTGGAAAATGAACTTAACAAAATAAATAACGAATCTCACTTTGTCAAGTATAGCGGCTATTATTCATCCCTTACTATTGTTTGTATCATTCTTATATTCTTATTTATCTTGTATAAAATCTATGTAAAATGTTTATCAAGATCAAACAGTCGCCAAAATTCCTGTTGTATCCAAATTTTTAATCAATGCAATACCCAAAGGGTGCTGAAAAACGAAACCAAATGTCATAACTCTATTGAATTGACAGAAATTTCAGAAAGCAATGGTTCTACTCAATCCATACCAGATAATTTGTCAAAACGTAATCTTAATTATTCTTAATTGTAAATCTTTATTTTGATCTTCTTTTCTTATGTAACTCTTAATCTTTTTGTCTTTTTACTTTACTTAATTTTATTGTTTTTTATAAATGTGTTTTACTATTACCAATTATTGTTATAAGTTTAAGATATTATTTTCGTTTTATATTACACTCTTAAAATTAGACAGAAATCAATCGTAGTAATTAAGATCCTTTTGTAAAAAGTTTTGTCTTAACCTCCCATCAGAGTGACTTCGCATATCTTTAAGGATATTGCTTCGTTTTAAGGGGGGAAATGTTATATTCACAATTAGTCCGCGGTTATTGCAAATGCATGCATTTTTGATTACTATAAAAATACTTGCAACCGCGTGGCGGCTTCAGTCTACCGGTGCCGTCACATTGTCAATATCTCATCCTGACGAGTTTAAGACAATCCTTTACTCTAATACTTGTAAAGTTCAAGTTCTTTTCATTAAAGTAGTATTAGCAGTATCAGTGGGTTTTTTTTAAAAAGACTAACACCAGCCGCGTCCTAACAGGACGACGTCTTTCATAAAAAAAAAATATATTTTACAGAAACAAATAAATGAAAATAAAATATTGCATCATTCTAAAATATTTACGTATCTACGCTGTTCCTTATTTGAACACTTTCATTGTTTTCTATTGTCAACAAAAGAAATAAAATATTATTAAAACAACGATTAGGTAGGTACTCATATCAATATTTAATATCAATCTAGTCTAAATATGTTGATAAAATGGAAAATCATGAGCTTAGTACGTAAATGCATACTGATATCGGAAAAGGGCAGACGCTTTTGTCAGGTCAAAACGAGTTAGCGACTGTGACACATAGATACTTTACTGATATGCCATTACTTTTCTTTGAGTCGGAAAAACCACCCCATTTCTCTTTTTGCTCCATGCAGAGCAGACTGGAACACATCAGTGCGTTAGCACCCACAAGCCAATTTCATTGAGATCTCCAGCTGAGAAATTGACATCAGCCCTAGTTGGCACTAGCTGTGGTGGTGGTGATGGCTCCTTGACGCAAGCGTGGACTGCAATCTGGTTAGACGGGGAGCTACCCTTGCGCCGTCCGCAGATCTGCGCTTACGGTTACCGGAGATGAACGCGCAACAATCAGGCAAATGGCATGTAGAGCGAGCTAGTTGCCCGAGAAAATGAGAAGTCGGTAAAACACACACACAAACACACACGTACACACACACACACACACACACACACGCACACACACACACACACACACACACACACACACACACACACACACACACACACACACACACACACACACACACACACACACACACACACACACACAAATTAGTAGTAAGACAGTAAACCAAAGAAAGACCTAATATTTGTGGTGTAAGTAGAGTAGGTACCTAACCAATCTGTTTTTTTTTAATGAAAATTCATCTTCTGATTTCAAGAAGGAATTTGAGACTGCTACTCAGAAACAACATCCTGTTTTTTCCCGCGTAGCTGCGGTAAATAATTATGCTTGCCCCCCCCCCCCCCCCCCTCCCGCAACACCGGCTGAACATCTGACTTTGTAGTCATAAAATGCAATATTATGAAGTAGCTTAGTAGATATGCGACCAATGTACATTTTAAGAATCCAATCTTGATATTGAATTATCGGTAATAATTTACATAATCTATCTTTTATGATATCGCTGTATACGTGACGATATTTGTACAGGTCTAATTAAATTTTCCTAATTCTATCCGGACCTATCAAAAGTCAATCTTATCGTAAAAGATTTCCTCTTTTATGTAAAGAGTAAGGTATTTAGGTACTTGTTTGAATAGTTAGGTAGCTCAGGCGCTTCCTCTCCTTCTTTACGAGCATCATTATTTAGCTATAAGTGGAGACAGGTGGAGGTCACCGCCGTCGATTACTTCCCTGAGGACACAGCGGTGCCTGAAGCAGGGCACACTGCCACCCCGAGCGTACAGCGCGTAGCGTTCCGCGCGCGTCCCAAAGAGCAAATAGACCACCACAGACGGGTCCCTATAGGGCTGACGTTCAGCCGGGGTTGCGGGGTAAGCGCAATGAGTCACCGCGGCCTCAGCCCAGAGCAGGAGAAGAAACGGGGGAGTTTTTAGTCAAAGAGTCTGACACTCTCTCCCGCCTTACCCTGGGCGGGAGAAGACCTATGATGATTTTCCACTGACAAAAAAAGGGCACATTGCCACCTTATGCTTCACCATGCCCTGCCTTGCACCGGGCACCTTGAAAGGGATGTACTACATCTTTTATGTAACAGATATTCCTTGTTCTTTTTTAAATATTTCTTATGGCACCTAGCTGTAAGTTTACGGGCTCTCTGATGACAAAACTTTTTGCACTCTAACAACAGAGATATCGTGTGTGCGTTGCAGTTTGCCGGCCATCTTCGAATTTAATAGTTGAAGTATCTAATCGAATCTAATCAAAAATCTATTCTGACTCCATAATCTTCCTAAAACCAATATCTTAAGAAAATGTAACAATACGTTTCTAGTCTATTATCTGATGATGAAAGAATTGTCTTTGTCTAGCATAAGGTACACGAAAATAACTACATATGATTATAATCAATCAGAAACAATATCACCGACTTTTCCAGGCATCACACGAACGTTGACTGATTGACAAGAAGCACAGTCTGGTGTCTTAAAGTCAAAGTCGAAGTCAAAATCATTTATTCCTACTCAATAATAAGTAGGTACTTTTGAAACGGCAAAATAGAATAGTAGTCTGTCAGTCTTATCGTTGATAATCCTAGTTGCGCACTCTGTTGGTAACAAACGAAGCCGACTTTCTTTTTTTTTCGGGAAAGTCCATACTGCTGCAGCTACTATAACCCATGATCTACAGTAAATACAACCATGACAACACCGAAACAAAGAAATTGAGCCCTAAGACATGATACGAAACAAATGTAACTCTTATTTAGAAAAGAGAAAATGTACATATAGATTGGTATTTTCTCTACATATGTGATTCAATGCAAGATCCGAATTACTTTAGGGTCTATCGTTAACAAAAAGACTGCACAATTGTTAGAAGCCTAGAGGCCAAAGGCAGACAGACAGGTAGGCAGGCACTCAAGCATACTTACTATTTTTAAAAAACCTATTTCCAACCTGACTTGGGTTTCCGCCAGTCGTCCACTTCTATTCTATCATTGTAACGACCAGAACTAGGATAACAATTTATGCGATGATGATCTGAACCGCATCCCGTTGCGTTGCAGTCCATTGTCTAGCTACTTCGCCAATATATGTATGTACTTTGCAATGTGGCACCGCAACCCCGTCAGAGACCTCTAGACAAGGAGAAGGAACGATGGTGTTTTTAGTCAGTAAGAGTCAGATACTTACTCTCGCCTCACCCTGGGCGGGAAAAGTCATTTGATGATATTCTCCTGAAAAAAAAAACTAAACGTAATTCACTGAAATTTCAAAATCTCTAATCTCTGTTGAAAGATCGGAATGACACATTGGCACTGGACAATAATTTAATGTGGCGTAACATCTAAGTCACAATTTATCACGACAATTTGAAGTAGATCAGTGTTTAAAAGAATTAAGCATTGAATTAAGAAGAGAAAAATCATAACATGCATTCAAATACTTACAATATATATTAGAAAATGACTTCATTCTCATTATAGACGTACAAAATTAAATCTTAAGACAAAGAGTTTATTGAAACGATAAGCAAATCTATTGTTTGTAGGTAAAATCAATTCGATTGTCCCACGAAGAGTGTGTAGTACATTGATAATTTTAGGCAAATCCAATAACTCGATCGTTTGCGATTCTTGCGACATAATTGATCAGTCGTCACTCGTTGTCAAAATGCTACGGTTGTGGGTGATTGGGCTGTTCTTGATCCTTGCAGGTAAATATCATTTACTTTTGGAATTTTATGTGAAATTTTAATCAATGTGCGTGACAGACGGTTTTATGTGTAAAAGTAAAAAGAAGCTGTTTAAAAAATACGTGCGTGTGTGTTATTTAATGTCTGTGAGTGGTAGTGTGTAGGTGCTGGTAAGATTTGTCTTGATTGAGTTCGGCGTGTGTTACCATAGAATTACAGTATTGTTGTCTAAGGTAGGTAAAGCCATTTGGTTGACAAATTGCATAGATCTTGAAATGTTATAAAGGTAAAGACGGTGTTCATACAATTTAGACATTATCATAATTTTTTTGGAATTTAAAATTGATAGTCAAACTCGTCTATTATATTTACTGTTGATGCAGTAAATCAACTACCATTAACCATAGTTATAGCTAGGCATCAAGCACATTGTCTTTCTTAATAGATTTCATCTTCAACGTCTTTTTTTTTTTTTATTAAAACACTGCCCCGCACTGGGATTTTCCTGTGACGTGGGTGCGTTTACAAACATACAAGATTTACATATATCTACAAGGCACCCAGACCAACAATTTGTTGATCACACAAAGTGTTGTCCTTTGCGGGAATCGGACCCGCGACACGTTGCACAGCAGCCAGTTACCCAACCACTGCGCCAACATGCAGTCAATAAATCAAACTGAGTCTTATGTTATTGTGTCTTACAATTTTGCAATAGAGCTGTAATAAACATTTTATTGAATTGGGTAGTTTCTAGGTCAAAAAAAATAATTCGACGTTTCAATACAATAATAAAATTTAAAAAAATAACTATACGTTTATTCATTGATCGATCGATACACTAAGTTTTAGATATTTTGTAGCTAATTATTAAGAAATAAGTAAGCTTTTTGACGCAAAAATACTATGACGTCATAGCTCATTTTTTCATATAAATTTCATAGAAAAGTATCGTTTTTGACGTTTGGTTAAAAGTATTGATTTTGACTAAGTAAGTAGTTGGAAACTACCGTATTGGATTGGTGTACCTCCTTCATTGACCTCCATGAACGTCAGCTGATAATTTCCATGCTCTTTGTTTTGGAATATTTATTTAAACAAAGAAATGTCGTCAGAGAAGTCTAATGTATTCAATACTTGTATTATGTAGGGGGTAATCTTTAGAACCGCTGGTAGCTACAATATTCCTGAGTGCTATAGGCTATAAAACATCACGCTACACTTAAATGGAGCCGAGTAGCGGCAAAAAAGGAGCTAGTTTCTTATAATTTAAATTATTTTTTAACTATTTGATAGATTATTGAACATTTGCATTTTTTATTGTTATTAGATTAGCTCAATAGATGTCACCACGTGAGCATATGTAATATTAAGATATGGCCGATTAGGTAACAATACTTATCACCACCAATAATGATTAAGCGATTGAAACAGATTAAAAGCTTTAGGGTTACTTAATTTTTTTTTAAATAGTCTCATTCAAAATATTTTGTGCCTACTTAGTTATTTCCCAAAAAGTTATTTTTTACCCGACTACGGTAAAGCAAATGGAGGGTTATGATTTTGACACGCTATGTATGTATGTATGTTCATCTGTTCCCTCGTAACTTCTAAGCTACTTATCAGAATTCGACAACTAATATATCATTAGAAACGTCTTAGTTGTCCGCTGGTTATAGGCTATATGATGTATCACAAAATCTAATGTGACGTCCTCTAGCGGACAAAACAACCAGAATAAAAAAGTACACTTAAGATAAATATACCGTGTTTGGTATCATTTGAAAGCGCTTTACTTGTACATTTTGAATATGTATACATTACTAACTGACTTAACCTGTATTCATGGGCTGATGGCATATAATTCACATCTTTTCGTTCATACCTTTTACTACTTAATATTAGTTGATTCTTTTGTTGATATTATGCGCCACAAATAAACTTAAACACCAAAATAGTACAAATAATAAAAATAACAAAAACTAAAACCCAACTACGACAAAAACCGACGCAGTAAAAGTATAAAAAATGATTTTCAGAATACTGAAAGGCACGTTATCAAAGTGCAGGTATGGTAAGTAAATGTAACGTGTGACTACGCCTTTCAGGATTCTTGTTTTATACTTTTTAGCGTCGTTTTTTGTCGTAGTTGGGTTTTAGTTTTTTTACTTTATATTATAAATTTGTGACTGAGGCCAGTACCGATGTTATAAAATAGGAAATCACTTCAAGGGTACCTTCGTTACGTACTTTACTTTCAGTGACCAAGTTGCTACTTTGAACAGTACACAATCTATCAAAACATACGGGGCCCCATCGGGCTAAATCATCAAATGACTTCTCCCGCCCAGGGTCAGGCGGGAGGGAGTGTCAGACTCTTACTGACTAAAAACCCCCCTGTTCCTACTCCTGCTTTAGGCCGAGGTCGCGGTGCCTCTTTGCGCTTACCCCGCAACCCCGGGTGAACATCAGCCCTATAGGGCCCCGTCTGTGGTGGTCTATTGGCTTTTCGAGGCGCGCGCGGAACGCTACGCGCCGTACACTCGGGTCTGGTTCTGGTCGGGCGGCGAGCTACCCTTACTCGTCGTCCGCAGACCCATGCTTACGGTAGCCGGAGATCATCTCTCGATCGGCGGCTGGGGCGCGAGGAGGATAGTTCCCTCGCGCGCTCCGGCTCCTCCTTTTCGCAGAAGGAGGAGATAGCTTCCCAGTTCCTCTCACGCTGCACCAGGGCCTCGATTAAGGCCGGGCGCGAGAGGTCGCCGCCGCCGATCGCTTCCCTGAGAACACGGCGGTGCTCAGCCCAAGCAGGGCACTCCGCCACCGTATGCTCCACCGTGTCCTCCAGGTGATCCTCACAATGACGACACTCAGGCGTTTCCTTCCGCTGGATCCGAAACAGGAACCTACCGAAGCTGCCGTGCCCGGTAAGCACCTGCTTCAGGCGGAAGGTGAGGACGCCGTGGCGTCTCTCAAACCACTCCTCAAAGAGGGGTCTTACCGTTACTATAATAGCGTGCTCGGTCAAAACATATGCATCTGTATTTTTGTAAACGCATGCAAGACATAGGAGAAAATATTATCGGTATTGGCCACAGCCACAAGTAAAAATACCTTTTTAGGTGTGGAACCACGAATGGTTAGGCTCGACCGGAGCGATACTACGGCTTCAGTGAAATCCGGCGTGAAGCAACCAAAGCGTTGTGTTTCGCTGTATGAGTGAGGTTTCCGAAGGCCCAATCCTTACCCTCCCCCGATCCCTAAATTCCCAAACCCTAATCCCCAAAACTCGTTACTCTTCCGTTGTTGCGGGAGTCGCATTGGCAGCGCTGGTTGCTTACCGTCAGATAATGCGTCATTTTGCCGTCCTCCGTAATAAACATTCTAATTATGATAAAACATGTATTTACATACAAAAATGGGTTTACCTGATGGGGTGTACAAGCTTGTATTAATTGTGAATGCATGATTGACGCGGTGGCTGGGCAACTGGCTGCCGTGCAACGTGTCGAGGGTTCGATTCCTGCACGGACCAACTCTTTATGTAATCCACAAATTGTTGTATTTAAAAGTAAATAAATGTTGTTTATATTTACATTATCAGACCCCTAGCGAACGCCGGCATTCGCGCACCTATTGTTCTTTTGTTTTGTCTCGAATTACCACGATGGAAAGGTTCACCATAAATCCATTATTTACAGGTACCTTCACGGGAGTCGAGAGCACAAGAATAGTAACAGTTACTGTAGGACAACAATTTACAATCGGAGTGTCAGCGGTTGAGAAATCATCTGAAACTGCAGTGGAATGTATTCTCGTAACATCTCAGAACGAGATTATCTCTTTCATCCCTGGTGATGAAATTGATGCACCGAGAAGGTTCCAAGTACTAGACGATAAAGACTGTTCAGTCGCGGTTAGTGACGTAAATACAGCTGATGCTGGAGTATGGACTATGTCGTATCAAACGGAGACTGGACCTGGAAACCAGACAGATACAGTCCTTCTTATGGCCCGTGAGGTCAATGGTAAGAAAACCTTTTTTATCCAGTTACGACTTAAGCATATCCAGCCAAAATGGTGCTTAATCCCACATGTAAAACATATACTTAATGTAGATTGAGCAATCTACTATGGGACTTGGTTGCGCTCTTTTTTGGCACAGTATAGTTGTAAAAATTGGGCACAGGTAAAGCCGCTACCCAATAGACGTTTTACTAGCATTGACGTCAGCGTCGCGTTTGCGCAGCGTCGATGCCGCATTGACGCGATATTAACGACGCGTCGTCGTCGGCGTGATTGTCTGTTGCCAACAAACGCGACATTAACGTTTCGCAGACGCGACGTTGACTTGGCGTCCAGCGGACTAATACTTGTCACGCGATAACGCACGTTTCGTCCGCGCAACGTTGACGTTGCGCGGACGAAACGTGCGTTATCGCATCGCTGCGCCGTCGTCGTGAGATGCCGCTCGTAAAATGCCAGTGGGATAGCGGCCTAAGGGTCAAATTGATACGTGGTGGGTACGTTCCAAAAACATTACTACTCAGGGTTTGGATTATTTGAGGTTATAAAAGCGTCAAAACAATACCCATCATTTTGAAACTGTACTTATTTAAGTTAATAAGTACCTTTTGTTTGTAATTGTTATTTATTTAATCGATCGATTTTGTAATTGTAACCCTTCACTATACCGGAACCAAAATATAAGGGTGTACTTGTAGCCTTACACTGGGCACAGCCCCAGACTCTAAATTTATCTTTTATGTTAATTTTTTGTTGTTGTTTAATATATTTGTGAATTTGCTTGTTCCTATCAAAGCGCAGATAACTAAAGAGGAAAACATGCAGTCCAATTTATTTATTCTGATTATTTTTCAAATGTAGCATCAGACGGTGAAAACGAAAATGAAAAAGACGATGAACTTGGAACTATGCTCAGTGCGATCCAACATTTTGTAAGGGAGGAAGATGCGATCGATATTTCTTTGGATACCTCAGTTGGTGAAGAGGATTGTTACGTGAAAGCACCTGGAGGAGAACTGACCAAGACGACGTCGGAGTTTGACATGGAAGGAGTTGTCGTACAAACTAGCAGTCTTCATGTCTCCTGCAGGATCACCATAGGTCCAATATACGAGAACTTACTTGGAACCTGGTTGTTGTGTGGGGAGTCCAACAATGAAATGAGATGCCAACCTGTTACTATTTCCTGGAGTAAGTTAATTTAACTAGCCTTTACTTCACCCTAATCTGCCTTAATCTTCATTATCCTGCCTTATTTAGCTTACTATATTTATACTACCTATCTGTCTACATAACTTCTCTAACCTTACCTTTTTTCAATGAAAATAGGCTAAATTAGTCGAGCTGTGTTCATCTATAGACGTAATTTTAAGGAGATGTCAGGCTAAAAAAAATGTGGCATGTGAAAGAGAATATTAACAGAATTTGTTTTTCCTTGTACTAAATCTACCCATACACCACATGAGTCACAATGCCTGTCCACCTATTAGGCATATTACCCGTTATCACAAAATACATAAAAAAACATATGAAAAACAAAAAAGATCGAGCTCATAAAACTACCCATGTAAAAGAAAATAAAAAATATCACCTACTACACAATTTTATAGTAATAAAAAAACAGTGAATGCATATCTAGATGTAGTACTTACACACATATCTATACTGAATTAGAGGATGATAAATAAGTTCTTAATCAATTTATTTTTCCACTGTAGATGACAACAACAATCCCAGCGCCCAGTCAGCTTCAAGCATACAGCCAAGATTCGAGCACTCAGTGAACTATGGCTTGACAGTCAACCCGGGTGTTTCATCACCATCCGGTTTCGGGGCAGTCACCTGCCACGTCGTCACACCTAGTGGTGAAAACCTCGTAATAACGAAAGACACCAAGTATCGCAACATTGCAAGGATTGCTTTCGAAACTCTAAGCCTCTGTAGTATCGTATTCTCCATCACTGACGCTGATTCGCTGGGTGACTGGTCCATTTATGGCAAATTCCGTTCTGCACGTAATCAACAAGAAATTCACCTGCCATTGAGATTTACTATTTACAGTAAGTATAAAGCAACAATTTGCTTAAGTAGATTGTTAACACAGGGCCTTATCCGTCCACTAGAACTTGACTAAAGTGATGTACGGGTCGAACCACAACTAACACGCCGTGTGACATGACTAGTATCAGTTTGGGATCTTTTCCAGAGATAATATTCCTCACCACACAGTCGGAGTTAACCCATTACATCGTTTTATTCCAAAACAAAAACCCTGTATCAAACAGAAAAAACTGTTGAATCTAACGAAGTTGAACGAAAAATAACTATAAATTTAATTGTTGCAGACGAAGAAAATCCCTATGAGCAAGCGTATAATGTGACACAACTTTCGGATTTGAGACAAACTGTCATTTTAAAAACTCCGTTAACAGTTACCATTAGTGATATTAGCGAGGTCGACAATTGCTTGTGCGAAACACCTTCACGTAAGGTATACAACCTGGAAAACGCATATGAGTTGAAAAGACTTAAAGGGGTGGAATTGACAGTTCCGAAGGGAGAAACCTCTTGTCAATTATTTTTCCACTCGATAACCGCAGATGTACTGGGAAAATGGCGGTTTGTTGGGAAGTTCAGCCACGGCAACCTACATACGCAGAAGTGGCAGAGGGTGTACCTCATAGAAGAAGGTGAGTAATAATTTAATTTGCATTGCATTGCGCTTACTGCCAAAAAATGATAACCGAAAATTCTGGATCGATGTTTGCTTTTGACCTAAACTATTGGTCGAAGCGTAATGTTTCATTGCATCTTTCCTTCCCTGATAAATGGAATATCCAACACAAATAGAATTGTTTAATTCGAACCAGTAGTTCCGGGGATTAGCGCGTATTTCCGAGCAAACAAACTATATGATAAGTTTATAATGATATGTTTTTCAGATCCTAATAACCCAGTTATAGATGACTTTCGAACACTCGAAATATTGAGTCCACAAGTTATCGACACGAAGCTGGACACTACACATAGGGTGACGATAACATCTACAAAGGATGTTGAAAATGAGAGTTGTCATATAGTAACCCCCAGCGGTTTGCAATACGCATTTATAGCTGGTTTTAATCTCAGCAATGTAGAAATTGTAACTGGAACCGGAATAGAATGTGGAGTCGAACTTCACGTCTACAATACAGACATGATTGGAGACTGGACTCTCATTTCCAGGGCTACCAGAACATCAGGAACAACTATAACACACGTTGAAAGAAGGCGAACATTTTCCATCCACGTAGAAGGTAAAATGTCAATTAATAATGACCATGATAATCTTGTCACGTAGCAGATAAAGTGCTTAGTGCCGCATTAAGTATTGATAACCACTATATTTGAATATTTTGATAGGATAATTAGGTAATTCCTCAAGGATTACACGGTTGGCTCGATGGCTGGGCAACTGGCTGCCGCGAAACGTGTCGTGGTTTCGATTCCCGCAAGGAACCACACAGTGTGATCCACAAATTGTTGTTCCTTGTTTGGGTGTGATGTGTATATGAAATTTTATGTTTGAAAAGGCACCCACGGCAGGAGAAAAGCCTAGTATGGGTTTTAAATTAGAAATCACTTTCAAATTTAATCTTTTCAGAAACTTTGGCTACAGGAAACCCAATTACCATAACCGAAGGCAGCGACCTCTACCTAAGACTACCAGAAACAACTGACTTGTACAAGACCTGCAAACTGTATGGGCCCACAGGCGAGGAGCTAACTGAAAAGCAATATTTAATCGATGAAATTCACCGTGAATCATGTGGTTATATAATTGAGAAGGTTAATTTGAGTCAAAGTGGTACATGGACTATTGTTTATGGAAAGAGCATTATTTATAGATCAAATATTCAAGTCAACGTCTTAGGTAATTATCCACTTTTATTTTAGTTTCGCTGTAGTTCAATCTGTTTTGCCTGATTTTGTCTGAATGTTTGCGTTTTTCTGAATATGTACATCTTTGTTTTCATTGTCTGTTGATATATGTGTTGGTGTGTATCCTTTTTTGAACAAGCTTTTATATAAGTTATTGCAAAAAGGTAGTGTTTCAAAATGAAGAGGTTGTGAGGTACGTTTGTGTAAAACAAAAACTTTAGACTGATATTTTGTTTTATTTTTCTATCGTATATATTTGTGTATGTGTGTGACAAAAGCTTGTTTTAAAAGAATACGCTTTTCTTTTTGTGTCTTAAAAGTAATACTGTAAAAAAGTTAAGGTTTATTAAACGTGGCAGTCTCATTAGAAAGGTCAGCAGACTGTCCAAGAGATGCCAGCTAATCGCCATAATATTTGCTTTGGTAGATCAGTTTTTATATACTTATAGAATTTAAGATTATTAAATTTAAAGACAAATAGACTTCAAAACAAATATATCTCTCTGGGTTCGCAGGAAATTTCGAATAAACTTTAATGTTGTTAAACAGAAACAGAGTTTTCGAGAAGTTTTAAATTAGGTTAGGTGTAATCCTATCTACTGTGATTTTTAAGTTAGACAGAAAAAGGGCATGTGTATACAGAGCATAAGGTGATCTTGGACGTATGTCAAATTTAAAAAAAGCAGTAGATATAAATAAAAAACAACAAAATTTTCAGAACATGTACAATTAGCTGTGCAAGATCAGCAGTGGACCGTTGGCCAATCGGTGAATATGACCATGGGCCCTGCTGATGCTGTGTACTGCAACCTATACAACAGTAGACGTGATACAGTCTTTGATGACTTCGGCCCATGCAGGGTTGTGATTGATAGAGTGACCTCGGACCTTCGAGGGCAGTGGCTCATTCATGTTGGTGTCCCTGGCTCCATTGGTGTCCAATACCAGACCTTCAATGTCGATGTACTCTCACCTGGTAAGTCAATTCCATTTTTAAGCTGTTTTTTGCATAATAAGAGACCGCGTTTTCAATTTATATGTTCGATTTTTCGCAATTACAATTTCTCAGTCGTCGTTCATTCAAACGTACATATTTTTTTTTATATAATGTTTTTTTGAATCGTTGTCTCTTATTTTTAAATCTTATGTTGAGGACACTACTATTTCGTCATGTGTCCTGGGAGCGTTTACAAACTAAATAGCACCCAGACACCGAACAACAAAAAAGCAAGGTTGTTCAGTGCGTCGTCGTCTATATTATAACTTATTTACATATGGGACCCGTATGCATACAATGTTTATGCTTAGTGATATAATAGTAGAGTCAGTCTTACCTAACTTCATTTCGCTTTTATTTCAGATTGGAGGCCATTTGTAACTACTGAAGTGGTAGAAGCTGAAAACACGGTGACGCTGTCCTGTTCCGTGTCTAGCAACTATGTGGTTAAAGCTTGTAAATTCGCTTCCCCTGAAGGTCATATACTTCTAGCAAACCAAGGCGTTGGCCAAGGAATATACGACGGAGCTTCAAGGTTGGTTCACCATGAATTTTTTAGCAAACAAGCTCAATATATCTTCCGAAGGTTGTTTATCTGATCCCATATCATCCTGGGATCTTAGTTGTATGTATTGTAGATCCCGGTTTATAAGAAACAAAAGAATGAGATATGCCCCATAAAAACAAAGTTACGGTCCACTTGGCTTATTTAGATTCAATTCAGAGCAACTGCCGTCAGCATTATTCTCAACTTTCTAAAGTTAAGTTAATAAACTTAAAATTACTTTAAAATAATTTTCTAAAGTTAAGAATACTGCAGACGGCGACGGAATAATGAAGTTTCTGACTATCTATAACAAGCAACAGTGATCGATATTTAAATGAAAAACAAAACCTTTTACTGAAGAATGCAGTGTCACTTAAAGTCACTGTTTTATTTTTATAGGTACGAAACTGACACGAATGGTTTGAGGTGTAAGATTACGCTCACGAACCCCGAGCTAAGGACAAGAGGAATCTGGCGATGTGCCGTACATACCAAGGACAATACTGGCTATGGTTTCCTGACTTACTACCGCGGATACAAACCTGAACACAACAGCAATTCCGATAGATATGATGTTACTGGTAATTATTTTAAAAACTGTACCCTGATAACAAGTATTAATTTTCGATTACAAAGTGTAAATCGGTAGGATAGCTTTCCTAAGCCTTGGTGCTGTTCCAATTCCAAGATTGGACTTGTATCTTGGACCATGTTGCATAGTATAGTAATGGTACCAAACACTGTAAGTGTATAAAATGTACTCGAAAACATAGTCTACGATTGGATTAACTACCTCTTGCTTACTGCCTCACGCAGGTGTTTACTAGATTACGGATGTGTTTGTGACCTTACTGAGTTAGTGGTAGGAAACACCCGTCTGTCGTCACTGCGGCAACCACCCAGGGTATACCGTGAAACATCTGATAGCAGTGCGTCCTACTTGGACTGAGCACCACTGTATCCTTAAAGAAGCGATCAGCGGCGCTGACGCTCATTTTGGTTCAATATTATTCTATATTTCGAAGCGGGAAAAACGCTATTCTCATACAATTATGATTTAAATTTCAGTGCCGTACTTACGAAGCCAATTCCGGTTCTACTCGGTGACTGAGGGTGAGAACAGTATCCTATCATGCATCATCAGTGCTCCAATACGCTACTGCTACTTCAGATCACCAAATGGAACGGTCTTCAATGTTGGACCATGTAAGTAAATCTGGCTTTTTTACAATTATAATTTATAATCTCTCTAGCTGAGGTAGTGTAGCCTTGAAAAAGAAGATATAAACGTTTTAACATTGATGCGAAAATCTTGAGGATTCGTTCTCTCTACGTTTAAATTCTCTGTGTGATTAAAAGTTATTTTCTCGTTGTGTTATACCTTCACACTAACAAGAAAAAATCAAACAGAGTTTTTTACTATAATTACCTAAATCAATTAATAACTGAACAGCGAGTAGAAAGGACTGGTCAAAGTTTTATTCGCAAACTAAGTGTTTACAATGTTGTCAGTACACGTAAACAGTTCAAAACTTAGTGCCTTTTACAAGCGTTGCAAATTGTGCTCAGATAATTGCGAAGTTAACATATTTTCCAACACACTTCCTCCTAAAGGGCCTCTTACCCTAAGGGCAATTAGGCATATAATGACACCTATAATCAAACTATGACTTTTTCATTACTATTTTTCACGAGTGAATAATTGAGTTTTCTTTTCATGTTATTGGTTGAGTTACGCTTACACTTGCGCTAAAATTATATGCGTGACAAGCCAAAAAAAAGAAACCTTTTTTAGTCTATGACCGATGCGCGTGCATAGTAAAACTGATTAAATTTTCCCGCCCTTATGAAACATTTTTTCACAACTCGCCTCGCTTTCTCTTTCGAAGTTATTTTTTGTTTTTTATTCAAATATTAGACATTTGTATGTGTTGAATGTCGTATGACACACGTGCGTATTGGTGATTACCGCTGAGACGAATTGAGATCTTAATAAGGAACCGAAGACGGTCACGACCAACTTTACACACTTATACCATGCACTAATAAGCGCTTAACAATAAGTAAATAAGTATTATTATTAGGACTATCATTAAAGTAACTTTTCGTTTCACAGCATTGTCGTCTGATACATACGAATATGTAGGAAATGGTTTTGACTCCGGTGAATGTGGCGTTAAGTTCCATCAGCTCGGAATAGACCATACGGGGCCATGGTCCTGCAGTGTTGGCATGACTAATTTCGAAGAGAGGACTGATACGTTCGAGGTCGGCGTTAGCGGTAAGAGCATGTAAATATTAGTCATTATCATATAGTAGTGTAGCTAGCACTAGGTGGACCATTCCAGACCCTTGTAAATTGTATCTTGTTTCTTGTTAAGCCTCCTAAAACTCGAGCCAGGAGTTAATAACATTTTTTTGTTATATGATAATAAGTTACACTTAAAGTCATCTTATTCATAAATTCTTGGTCGTTCTGGACCATTACCATTTCCCCCCTTAAATATTTATTACAGTAAAATATAATCTGGGATTTGGAAAATTCAATCGCATTTACAATTATTACCAGAATCGACTTCATTCACCTCATCGATTCATAAGTCTTTCCATAAGTTAAACGCGCACTTATCATCCAAATTCGTTGTCCTGTAATACTTTTGAGGTTTAGTTTTTTCGTATTTTAATATATTACAGAGCCGATAAGAGTTTTTCACACATGGCGGAGCGGAATACTAGAAATAGGCGCCATAGCCGGTGACTGGCTACCTCTGGATTACTGCAGATTTGTTCGCAACGACGGATTAGGTAAGAGAAATTTGTTAACCTTCTGGTTTGACAATCAGACAAATACTTTAAATACCGGGAAAGAATGACGGTAGGTGTAACAAAGAATCAAGATCAAGGTCACCCTTGGCAGGTTGTAAAGATGTCTTAGTAGTGTGGTGTATCAGACACTACTAGTACAGGATCAAGATAAAACTCTAAAAATCGTTGCCATTCTAAGCTTAAAATTAAGTGATTGGTTCGATTAGAAATAATACATATTTGTATCATTTTCCAGGTTTTAATTCTATTAATCCACCCCCTGACTACTACACTTACCAATGGTCAGTTTATGAAGGAAAATGCATACTCGCTATCACGGACCCGACGCGATGGGACTTACAGCCCTGGACTGTGTTTGTCAAGGTCACTGGAGAGACCGCCGAGAGGTCGGATACCACAGGTGTGCTACAGCCACCAGTTGAACCTAATTCCAGTGAGTATTTCAATAGAACATATTTATATGGAATAGGGCGAGCGAATACCAAATTGGTAGCAATAGGCGCCGCCGATATACATGTGCGTTGCCGGCTTTTCGGGGTTGAGGTTTGCCCCTTTGGGGTACAAAGGGCCAACACAAACGTTGTTTCACGCTGGTTTTATGTGAGACTGTGTATATCAGATTAATCCCTCAAGCCGGCCTTTTCCTGCCGAAATGCAGCATGTCTGTACTATAGGGAGACATATAAGTTACTCTAAAGATGTGGAGCTCTTAATAAGTTCTCTAAGAAATTGAAGAGATGTTACTTGACGTAGGCACAGCAAAGTATGCAACTATTTTTTTTAACACTAGCGCCTTCTACATTAGCGCGGCAATCAGTCATCGTGCTATGTAATTTAGGACGACGATATAGACCAACACCATAACCCACGTTTGATAGTTCTTCATTAGTCACCGAGATTGGCAGTTGTGCAGTGGAAAATTTCATATACTTGAGAGCCCTAGACTTATAAAAACCCCTTTCTTTTCATTTCCAGAAGCCTCAAAAATGCTATTTTGGATGCTGGGGGTGACCATGGGATTCCTATTTATAATTGCTGCTGTATCACTGATACCTCCGAAGAATCGTAAGTGGACTTACAATCAAGCAACTTCGATCAGGAACAGCTTCCGAAGAAGCCCCATACCGACACAAGAAGCGGCGCAAAACGACCTACCACCGAAAGTTTAATGAAATTAACCTAATAATATGGACGATTTACCCCAAATTTTGACAGAACCCTATATTGAATTGAAACAGTCCAAGTACTTCATTTGTATTAAGGTATAAAATGGGATTATTTAAGAATAATTCTGGCTTTTACCTAAGTAGACTTAAAAAGGTCACGTGGCTTATAACTTTACCTCATCTAACCTAAAAACGGGTCTGTTTTTAATGAAATATTATTATATTGCTTTATTGCAAGAAGAGGCTATTTTAAGAATTTTGTACATAATGTAAATGTGTATAATGTAAACTGTTATTACTTTACTTAAAACTTACATATAATGTTTTGGTAACCTTTGTATATAAGAAAATATCTACTAGATGCATAAGATTGTTTCGATACCTTTGATGAATGAAGCTTTTGCATAACTACAACTTGTATTATTATTGTTGTTAATCGATTTCCAGAGAGCACTATAAATCCTAACATGGATTTGTATCAATAATGGTTAGGTATCTATTATTATCATCATTTTCTGCCTCTCTTCAAAGACTTTCTCGTACCTTTTTTTTCGCAGATTTCTCTACTTCATCCCCTATTCCTATGGTTGGTAGAGAATGCATTTTGCTACTAATTCGCCTTATGTTTGGTACATAACTATTTTCAAGTTGAGCCAAGAAAATAATTACAATATCAGTTCGGATATGCCATTGGCGGCAGGTCTTTCTACAATTTTGTCATATCAAAAATAATTTGTCGTATCAATCTTAATCTGCACGTGACGTAATCATTATAATCAGGTTGACAGACTACCCACCAGTTTTTTCTTTGGAAGGATTAAAAAGCGATGAAAGTAGTTTTATGAAAGCGAAAGTTGCATTGAGCGAGAATATATGAAGACAGCTAAAGTCGTTTCTCGGCGTTTAAGTAGCACCTTATTAAAATATGTATAATTATATTAAATTAAATACCTCCTTTAAGCAATGATACGGAGATTATATAAAAAGGGCGAGCTTTTGGTTATATTTTATAACTGCCTGTCAATTTTGATATTTGTTTTTTATGTCATACTTCGGCAAACGAGCAGCGTATTACTTGATAGTAAGCAAACAGCGCCGGCCATGGACACCAGCAATACAAAAGGAGAGCGTTTCCAGTCTTTCAGGAATTAAGGTATTGGGAAAGGAAGGGGGAGGGAAAAGGATTGGGTCTCCGCTACCCTTATTCACACTGCAAAACACAACATTGTGGTGGTTTTACACCAGTTTTCTGGTTAACCCGGCCCATTCATTCCGAAGCGTAGCTTTCCTATAATTTTAATACGTGTTATAAAACCATTGCGGAAAACACACTGCGCTGTGTCTGTTGAAATCGTATTTAGAGGATTGTCAACTAAACGGAATTAACTCACAGGGCTCTGAGATGAAAATAGGCGTTCCGCTGGGTTCCATATTGGGTCCGTTCTTTTTCTATATTTTCAAGTTCATGATTGGTTCTCAATTTAGTATTTAGCGATTAGCGAGAAAAAAAACAAAAGAAAAGCTTACCACATGTTCGAATTGGTGATTGTGACATCATATTGAACGGGCAAAGGTTAATATTTGTCTACCTGAAGGTAAGTATTTCTTTGAATCACGTTAGACAACGGGCTTCATCTTAACACTTATAGACTTTCGGGAGATTAAGCTCAGTTGATTTTGCAGTTTAGATAGAGTAAACAGTTCACAGACGTAAATACAGCGAGGCTGTCCATTTTAGATATTTCCACGGCATTATTTCGTACGGAATTTTGATGTACTATTCATTTTATATTCGTCAACAACAACAACAACAACAAATAACCAATAAAATATAATTTTATATGGGCTTCAATTTATAAATTAAGAATTATGCTACATGAATGTATAATGTAATTATTATTTTAGATTAGGGTTATAGAGGTTATATTTTTTATTTAAATACATTTTAATGGTGTCGTGGAATATATCGGTTATTGGTATAATACTTGCGATTTGGTTGAATTGCCTTCTAATTCTGTTGAGTTAAAACCAATATTGGTTTTGAAGGGTTTTAAATGAAAAGTGTTGGTGATATCTTGGCATGTTGTGCGGTACATTTATGGCTATGCTAGCTAAAAGATTGGGCAATCGAGTTTCTTGTTTACTATTTTATAGAGAAACATAATGTCGTACACCAATCGCCTATGACGTTGGAGGTACAAGTTAAATGTCTTGTGAAGGCCCTCTGAAGCTGTTCAATCCTCTGTGAGCGGACAGCATAATTTGAATTCCAAACGATACTGTCAAACTCTAAGTGAGTCCTTACCAAGGTGTTGTACAGTATTACTTTAGTACTACAATGGTTATAGCCTTTGTATTTCTTTTCAAAAATCCAAGCATAACTGCCGATCTGGTGACAATATAGTCAATGTGTCTTAAGAAGGTAAGCTTTGTATCCATAATAACACCAAGGTCCCGTACCACATTAACAGCTTCTACAACAGTGCCATTGATGGTATATGAGGCAGTCCCAGAGTTATTTTTTCTAGTGAATTTGATATGACAGCACTTCAGTACGTTGAGTTATACGATTAGGAATGCACCAGTTCTCAATTCTAGTTAAGCCTTGCATGATTAGATTAATGTCATCGTTTTTGTTTATCTGTCGGTATAACTTTAAGTCGTCTGCGAACATTAGGTATTTGCTATGGTGAATTTCTTGAGTTATGTCATTAATAAGCAATGAAAAAAGGATCGGTGCAAGATGGGAACCCTGAGGAACGCCAGAATCTGCATAATATGAATAGGATTCGTATCCGTTGATGACTAGGATTTGTGATCTGCGATGATAATACGATGAAAATCAATTAAGTTATGAGCCATGTATTCCATTGTAGTGCAATTTCAGCAAAAGCAAAGAATGATAGACTTTATCGAACGCATTACAAAATTCGGTGTAGATAGCATTGATCTCAGATCTTTGATCAGGGCAAGAGGAGATCAGACACAAATTCAACCAGATTTGTATCTACGCTGCGACCAGTTTTGAAACCATGTTGACAAGGCGAAGGTTTTTAGTAAGTAAGAGTGACAGACACTCCGTATCGATCAGGGCGAGAGAAATCATTAGATAATTTTGTAGAACATTTGACATATGTTTTTTTTTGTGTGGCGACATACGAGCAGACAGATTGCCTGATTGTAAGTAATCAGCGCCGTCCATGGACACTCGCAAAAAAGAAGGAAGTACGAGTGCGTTGGCGACTTTTTGAGGGTTACGGTGGAGAAGGTGTGGGCCTCCAGTAACCTCACTCACACGACGAAACACAACGCTGTAGTATCACACTGGTTTTCTGTAAGGACGTGGTATCACTCCGGTCGAGCTGACCATTCGTGCCGAAGCATGGCTCTACAAAACTAATGTGTTTTTATGTAATAGAGAAGGCTTATAGTCCAGTAAAGAAATCTTATTTACACAAGCAGTAGCAGAAGAAATGGCTTCTTAAATAATGAAACATTTCAAAGTATTAAACTAATCATTTAATCAGTTGAAGGTCATGACGATATACAGATAGACAAACAATTTCTTGATTAAAGTTACATTTATCTTTGATAAAATCGATACTATTAAATTATTTTTATTATATTAATTGTAGATGGTAGTCTTTGCGACTAAATGTGATAAAAATGTTTAAGTTAATATTTTTATTTTTTGTGTTTCTATTCGCTAATGCCAAAGGTTAGTGTTTTTTATTTATTTATTATCTAATCTAGCTAAAAACGAAAAGGGCTATGTTGATTGAAATAAATAAGGATTAATTGAGTGTAAATTAAGTAATCTATTTGTTATAAGTTATTGTAATACCTTACGTTCAATATGCGTAGAATATCTATTCATTATGTATAGACCTCTTTTATGGAATTTTCGGCAAACTAGCAGCCAGTTTAGCTGATGTAAAGCAAGGGGCGTTGTCTATGGACATCCACAAGTCCCGCAACAGCAAGGAGTTAACAAATTCGTTGCTGGCCTTTTTGGGGGGAAGATTTGATCCGTCCCCATTTTAATACACAATCTTCGGTCAGTTTGTAGTTCATTACAAATTACATTCCATAGTGTTATTCATTAGTAATGAAAAGTATTATGATAATAAAATATGATGGACTAAAGTTGATTTGAACTCGTTGAAGGTTATATGACAGGCAGAAATCTACTAAAATTTTGTCACTCTGTGTAAAATATAGTATTGTTTGTTGCTAACGACTTCCAAAAATCAACTGAGAAAAGATCAAATCAAATCAAATTATTAATTTCCCACAACATATGTGTGGTGACTGTTGGGCACGACAAAAGTGTGTGTAGGAGAGAGGTCACATTATTCAAGTCACCACAGGACTCCTATTAATGAGCAGCGTTAATAAATTTTGTAAATCTCACGACAGTTACTATAGAAAAAAGTTTGTTTGTAGTGGGTAATCTTTGGAACCGCTGGTCGGATTTCCAAATTTCTTTTACTGATATGTAGCTACAATATTCCTGAGTGCTATAAAATATCACGCTACGATTAAATGGAGCCGAGCAGCGGGAGAAACCGCGCGAGAGTAGCTATATTTAATAAACTATAATACATACTGTTATGGTCATTGGAATATGTATTGTAATGTACTTAATGAGTAGGTACCTACATTTCGTGTCTAAAAGCAATAACAAGCAGGAAACCATTATCTACCTATAACTATAATTCACATAGCCAAGCGATATCTGTAACATTTAAACATTAAAATATAAAACAGGTACAATGTAGTGGCGTCAAGCAACAACTTTACCTAATACTCCACTCATCATCATCATCATCAGCCTATAAGTGCCCACTGCTGAGCAAAGGCCTCTTCTCACACGGAGAAAGTCAAACCTTCTTAATAAACCGCATTAATCACCACGCTTGCTCAATGCGGGTTGGCGATTTCAAACTTATAATTAGAAATTATAAGTCCAGGTTTCCTCACGATGTTTACCTTCACCGTTTGTCAGTGGTGTCTAAATAATCATAGAAAGTACATATAACTCGGAAAAAGTCACATTGGTACTT